TAAGGTCGATATGAATAGCAGAGCCACAGGAACTGCATCCTCTGTCCTGATAATATCGCAGATTTTGTCTGGATCCTGCTCCATAAGTCGCTGGATAGTGATACCAAGGGAGCTGGACATAAGGACTAGCAGGTCAGAGAAGCATCCCATACTTTTGCCAGGCAATCCCAGGCCTTGAGTCAATATGATAAGGTCGGGGGATGTCAATGCCTGTTCCGTGTTCTCTGAATCTGATTCCAAAAAGTAAGCAGTGCTCGAAGAGGATGAACAAGCAGGGGATTTTTCCAGATGAGCGGTAGTGGCCGCTGAGGTAAATGGAAGATTCTGAGCCGTTGGTGGTGTTTCAGGGGTCATCTTTGACACATTGGTGGTGGTGAACATGGGAATCTGTAGGGGTGGCAGTATTCCCACAGAAATCCTGGGCCATAGTCCTCGGGTCCAAAGCCTCCATATGGAGGTGGCATCCAGTATCGCTTCTTTATGGACATACCGGGTTGGTGCCGAAAGAAAGAGGAGGCTGGCGTGTCGATCCCAATGAGGCGCCTGAGGATAAATGTCCATAGAGGATTGGAGTGGGAGGACAGATTGGCTCCTGATAGTCATGGACCAATTGCACCGAACATTGGGAAGGTGGCAGTTAGTGGGTGGGCAATCTCTAATCTCTCCATCTGATATTAGTTCCAGGGCTTGAAACTCAACTGGGTTGGATCTAGGTCTCAGTGATGCCCGTGGAGAGGGTCTCGGTACGCAACTTGGAGATGGTTGCGGTGTTGTCTGGACTGACAGTAGACGGATCAGAGGTACACTCGGTACTGAGGCACTCGGTCCCATCACAAGTGGGAATGGTAAGTCCTTGTGAGCTGAACAAGAGTGTTTCTTATGTTTCCTCTCCAGCTTGTCCTTTTTGGGACACTTTGTCTTAGCAGTCCCTTTGATCTCAAGATGTTTTCTTTTCTCCTTTTGCTTTTTAGGCGACTGAGACCATTCCAAACCCCTTTTCTTGGTTTTAGTGTTGTCCCCTTGTTCGGTATGGAGAGGCGCGCGCTCTGTGGAGGCAGTAGGGCTGGTGGGTGGAGCTATGGTAGCCTCCCTTATTGCCATCAAAGCTTGGTCCCACAGCAGCTTTTTGAGGTGATTTTCCTGGTTCTTTTGAGCCTGAGGAGTGAAGGCCTGGCAGTGAACACATTTGTCTAAACCAGGGGTCAGCAACCTTTAACACTCAAAGAGCCATTTGGACCCATTTCACACAGAAAAGAAAACACCAGGAGCCGCAAAACCCTTTTGACATCTAAAATGAAGATAACACTGCATATATCATTTTTTACCTTAATGCTATGTATATCTTCATTATGATTTAGCTGCAGCTCTTGTTCAGTCACTAAAAACTGTTATTTTTAATCTTACACTATAAACTAGTAGGACTCCTTTCATATATTTTGAACAGGAGAACAGCTTCCTGCAGAGTCAAAATCAGTGCTAAAGGGCTGCATGCATTAAACAGCAAACCCCATAAGTTCGTCAGCAGTAAAAGCAAATGAATCTACCCA